ATTGCCACATCCGTACTCACAAAAGTGAGCGCCTGAGGGCAAAGAAACCATGAGTAAATTCTAGGAGAATGTTTTTAACCTTTTTACAAACACCATTGAAATTTTTTATGGTGTAAATGTATTGTCTAATAGAGTTGAAAACCTAGAAACTAAATATTTAGCTAATGGATACGAGGCAGTACCTAAATTTGATACAATAGGGTGGAAAGGAATACCATTTTTAGGAATTTTGTGAAGAGCATATAATCTGGCACAATTCGCAACAGATGGGATAAGCGAATGTTTTAAGTTGCTTGAAATGATTTGTGAAGATCTGATCACAGTTTTTATTTTTGACAGGTCCAAAGGCGAAGGATCTTTAGGGATCGGATTATATGGTCCTTCGTTTAAGAGTTTAGTGACACCATCGATGTAAGTGTTCTTATCCATGACGACTATCTGGCCAACTTTGTCCGCCTTTGAAATGATAATATCTGGGTTAGAATGAATTTCACGCATTGCAGCCCTTTCTCTCGCAGTTAGATTTGGTTTCAAAGGTTTATTATTGAATTTCACAATCCAAATATGCGAAACATAAACAGAACTACAAAAAAAAGAAGTACTTACCGTAACCCATGCAACCACAAAATGGCAGTTACTCCACGTGCAAAAAAGGAAGCAAAAAATAAGCTGTTTCTGCCTCCGAAACACATACAAACACAACACGACGAAAACCATGTGGAAAAAAGAAAGCACAAAATAAGCCTGTTTGGGGCTTCTATATTTAACACACAATAACACGCCGAACAAATACTAATTCAGAAGTCAAACAACAAAAATCAGTGTTATATTTTCAAAATTTCACAGGACTAGTTTCAATGGTTTTACCGAACCACCATCCTCAGCTGCAAAACTGCAAATGAACAAGATAGAAAATAATGATTAGATAAGATAAGAAAGCCTGGACAGAAGAGAAGCCAGTGGTGCAATCTGTTGATGAAACCAGAACTAAAACATAATTTCTTTAAAGGCCGAAAAAGCAAAGATGGATCGGAATTAGGATAGAAAAGAAAGATTTTATTTTGAATGTGAAATGCCTCTAGAAAATTAAGTTCTCCAATGGAAGACGTTTTTTGAATAATTTTGGGAGCAGAAAAATTGAAAGTGTGATTTTCGGACCAACAATGTTGAGCAACAGAAGACTTCTGTGTTTCCTTTTTTTCTAACATATGCCTTATATTCATTAACGCGATATTTTAAGGCTCTCTTAGTTTGGCCATTGTAAATTAAACCAGACTGGCAAGGAACCCTATAAATACCCCAGGAATTCATATCCGGAATAGGGTCCTTGAGTATGGAACTCTGAATTTTATTGATGGGAGAATAAACGACCCGAAAGTTAAATTTCTGCAAATTACGTGCAACTTTATAGTTAATTGATGGAAAGAAGGGAATGGCAACATAATTTTTATAATCTCCTTAAACAAGAGTGTGCCTTTTAATGTGTTGATATGAGAATTTTTTAACTGCTTGATTAATAATGTTGGGTGAAAAGTCCCTGTCAATAGCTATTGCTTTTAAGAAATTTAGTTCTTCATCAAGGGATAGTTTGGAGGAGCAAACTTGAAGAGCACAGAAAACATAGGAATAAAATGAAGCTAACTTTTGTTTATTTGGATGACATGATTTAAAGTGTGGTGGAAGGCAAACCGATGAGTTTACGATAAACAGCAGTACTGAAGTTGGATGTGTTACGTGTGACCAGAATGTCGAGAAATGAAAGAGAATTCCAAGTCTCAAGTTCAAAAGTGAACTGAATAGCAGAAACAATAGAATTCATTGTTGAAAGAACTTTTTACCCTTCAAAATTTTTAAATCATCTTTTTTACCTTCAAACAGGGTAAAAGTATCGTCGATGTAATGCATCCATGCCAGGAAGTTTAAAGTTTCAAACAATTTTGATTCATCATAATGCATGTAGATATGGGACTGAGGGGCTTCCCATGGCTAATCTTTCAGTTTGCTTGTAATATTTATTTTGGAAAATAAAATGTGTTTGTTTCAAACAGAGTTGAGTGAGAGAAATTAGCTTATCAATTTCGATGCAAGAGAAATGCAATTTGCGAAGTCTGGTTCTAGACATCTTAAACGCACCCTCCGACTGGAACATTGGTGAATAATGATTTTACATCAAAAGAAACCATGAGTAAATTCTAGGAGAAAATTTTTTAACCTTTTTTACAAACTCTATTGAATTTTTATGGTGTAAATGTTATTGTCTAATAGAGTGAAAATCTAGAAACTAAATATTTAGCTAATGGATACGAGGCAGTACCTAAATTTGATACAATAGGGCGGAAAGGAATACCACTTTCAGGAATTTTGGGAAGAGCATATAATCTGGCACAATTCGCAACAGATGGGATAAGCTAATGTTTTAAGTTGCTTGAAATGATTTGTGAAGATTTGATCGCAGTTTTTATTTGTGACAGGTCCGAAGATGAAGGATCTTTAGGGATTGGATTATATGGTCCTTCGTTTAAGAGTTTAGTGACACCATTGATGTAAGAGTTCTTATCCATGACGACTATCTGGCCAACCTTGACGGCCTTTGAAATGATATTATCCGGGTTAGAACGAATTTCGCGCATTGTAGCTCTTTCTCTCGCAGTTAGATTTGGTTTCAAAGGTTTATTATTTAATTTCACAATCCAAATATGCAAAACATAAACAAAACATTAAAAAGAAAAAAATTAAAAACAAAAATCAGCGTTATATTTCCAAAACCATAGAAAATTTTGAAAATATAACGCTGATTTTTGTTGTTTGACTTCTGAATCAGTATTTGTTCGGCATGTTATTGTGTCTTAATTTTAGAAGCCCCAAACAGGCTTATTTTGTGCCTTCTTTTTTCCAAGTAGTTTTCGTCGTGTTGCGTTTGTATGTGTTTCGGAGCCAGAAACAGCTTATTTTTTGCTTCCTTTTTTGCACGTGGTGTAACCGCCATTTTGTGGTTGCATGGGTTTCGGTAAGTTTTTTTTTTTTTAAATTTTGAAGTTTTGTTTATGTTTCGCATATTTGGATTGTGAAATTCAATGATAAACCTTTGAAACCAAATCCAACTGCGAGAGAAAGAGCTATAATGCGCGAAATTCGTTCTAACCCGGATATTATCATTTCAAAGGCCGACAAAGTTGGCCAGATAGTCGTCACGGATAAGAACTCGTACATCGATGGTGTCACTAAACTCTTAAACGAAGGACCATATAATCCAATCCCTAAAGATCCTTCATCTTTGGACCTGTCAAAAATAAAAACTGCGATCAAATCTTCAGAAATCATTTCAAGCAACTTAAAACATTAGCTTATCCCATCTGTTGCGAATTGTGCCAGATTATATGCTCTTCCCAAAATTCCTAAAAGTGGTATTCCTTTCCACTCTATTGTATCAAATTTAGGTACCGCCTCATATCCATTAGCTAAATATTTAGTTTCTAGATTTTCAACTCTATTAGACAATAACATTTACACCATAAAAAATTCAATAGAGTTTGTAAAAAAGGTTAAAAACATTTCTCCTAGAAATTTACTCATGGTTTCTTTTGAAGTAAAATCATTATTCACCAATGTTCCAGTGGAGGGTGCATTAAGATGTCTAGAACCAGACTTCGCGAATTCATTTCTCTTGCATCGAAATTGATGAGCTAATTTCTCTCACTCAACTCTGTTTGAAACAAACACATTTTGTTTTCCAAAATAAATATTACAAGCAAACTGAGGGATTAACCATGGAAAGCCCACCCAATCCCATCCTGACTGATAACTTCATGCATTATTATGAATCAAAATTGTTTGAAACTTTAAACTTCCCAGCATGATTCCATTACGTAGACAATACTTTTACCCTGTTTGAAGGTAAAAAAGATGATTTAAATAAAGTTCTTTCAACAATGAATTCTATTGATCCTGCTATTCAGTTCACTTTTGAACTTGACAATTGCCGTAAACCTTCATCGGTTTGCCTTCCACCACACTTTAAATCATGTCATCCAAATAAACAAAAGTTAGCTTCATTTTATTCCTATGTTTTCCGTGTTCTTCAAGTTTGCTCCTCCAAACTATCCCTTGATGAAGAACTAAATTATTTAAAAGCAATAGCTACTGACAGGGGCTTTTCACCCAACATTATTATTAATCAAGCAGTTAAAAAAATTCTCATCTCAACACACTAAAAGGCACACTTTGTTTTAGGAAATTATAAAAATTCTGTTGTCATTCCCTTCTTCCATCAATTAGCTATAAAGTTGCACATATTTTGCAGAAATTTAACTTTTGGGTTGTTTATTCTCCCATCAATGAAATTCGAGTTCCATATTCAAGGACCCCCATTCCGGATATGAATTCCTGGGGTATTTATAGGATTCCTTGCCAGTGTGGTTTAATTTACATTGGCCAAACTAAGAGAGCCTTAAAATTTGCGTCAAAAACATGAGGCATATGTTAGAAAAAAGGAAACACAGAAGTATTCTGTTGCTCAACATTGTTGGTCCGAAAATCGCACTTTCAATTTTTCTGCTGCCAAAATTATTCAAAAAACATCTTCCATTGGAGACTGGGAACTGGATTTTCTAGAGGCATTCACATTCAAAAAAATCTTTGTTCTAGTTTAAGGATCCTAATTCCAATCCATCTTTGCCTTAGACTTCGAAGAAATTATGTTTTAGTTCTGGTTTCATCAAGAGATGGTGCCACTTGCTTATTCTTGTCCTGGCTTTCTTATCTTATCTAATCATTATTTCCTATCTTGTTAATTTGCGGTTTTGCAGCTGAGGATGGTAGTTCCATAAAACCATCGAAACTAGTCCTGTGAAATTTTGAAAATATAATGCTGATTTTTGTTGTTTGACTTCTGAATTAGTATTTGTTCGGCATGTTATTGTATCTTAAAGGTAGTTATATTACACTTTTTTGTAATACACACAGATAATTACAATAAGCATAATAATGATAACCTCATCTACCTCTGAAGACTTTAACACCCCACAGCGTCTGTAATTTGCTTCTTTGAGCTATTTCATCCCATGTGGTACGTTTTGTAGTTCTTCCCCGATGAGAATAGACACTAGATAATGGTTCTGCAATGAGTGGTTCTTCAATTTTGTCAAGAGAAGCTGGTGGAATTAATTCTGCATTTTCTTGTTCATCATCACATTCTTCAACAGACATCTGTTTAAATAAATAAATAAACTATAGTAATTTATATTGGGGGAAGGGGTTATGTTAATGTCAAAAAGTCAGTAGTCAGGTCAAGTAATTTGTTACAAAATAAGATAAATTTATTGTTTATTTTCAGTTTACTTTATTTAACAACACATTTTCATCACAAAAGGAAAATAAAATATCTTAAAACATTTATCTGTCAATTTCTTATGCAATTGATATACTGGATAATTGTAGAATACAGATTATTTCAAGTTTATTCACTCATTTCTTGCATAGTTTACATTCTAATAAGAGGGAAGAGTTCTTTTAAAGACTCTTTCATATACTTAGTCATTCAATTTACACTGCTGGCTACCGTAAATGCAACACCCTGAAGGAAGTATGCAAATAACATGAAATTTACAAAATGCATTAGCGGAGATGAGATATGCAAATGATTAGAATTTCAGCGCAGACGCACATTATGCGCACCACCTCAAAGTGCTATTTAAGGCTTGGAGTTTTCGACGATTTCAAGTTCGGCAATTGAATTTTTCTTGTGGTTTTTTCAAAAAAGTGATCAATTATGCCTCGTAGTAAACAGTGATCATCTTTTGATCAAGTATCTGAGTTTGACAGAGGAATGATAGTGGCCTACCAAGAGTGTGGATTATCTTTCAGGGAAATCGGTAGCAGCGCTGAACGAAACCAAACAACTGTAAGGCAGATATGTGACCGTTGGATGCAGGAGGGTACGACAGACCGACGTATTGGATCGCATCCACCTCAGTGCACCACTTCACGTGATGACAGGAACATTATGCGCATGGCAGTGACGGATCACTCAGTCACATGACGAACCATAGCACAGCACATTCAGTCTGTAACGCATCATCCAGTGTCTGCGTGTAGCATTCGACGCTGTTTACAGCAGAGTGGTCTGTCCGCAAGACATCCATTGCTTCGTCTACCCTTGACACAGAACCACAGATGCTTCCACCACCAATGATGCGATGAAAGAAGGATGTGGACGGCAGAATGGAATGAAATTGTCTTTACTGATGAGTCACGCTTCTGTCTGCAACACCGCGATGGTCGGTTTCGAATCTGGAGACACCGTGGAGAAAGGATGCTGAACAGCTGCGTTATGCACTGCCACACTGTTCCTGCATGCGCTACATCTCCGAGGTGTTGGAGCTAGTTGTTCTTCCTTACCTTCAGGGCTTGCCCACAGCCATATTTCAACAGGATAATGCCCAACCACACATGGCACGCACTGTCCAAGGGTTCTTCGTCAATTGCCAGATTGAATTGCTTCCCTGGCCGGCTCGCTCTCCGGATCTTTTGCTGATAGAAAACATGTGGTCTATGGTTGCTGAATGATTGACCCAGATTACATTCCAAGCTGCACAACCAGATCAACTTTGGCAACGTGTGGAAGCTGCTTGGTCTGCTGTACCCCAAGAACACATACAAAGTCTCTTTGAATCAATGCCGAGGCGTGTGGTAGCGGTGATCTCCAACATTGGCGGCTACTCTGGCTACTGATTCTGGAAGGAACCACACTTTACAGAAGTCTATAAATTTAATCATTTGATACTTGGTCAACATGTTATCTACTAAATAAATTTTGTTGTGATATCTTTTGTCTTTCTTGGTGTTGCAATTTGGGTGGCCAGCAGTGTACATATGGAGATGCCCTCTTCATACATACTCACTAATTAAAAAAAAAAAAAAAAATCTGATGGTACACCACATGACTTCCTTGTACGGAATATTAAATTATATGCATTTTTTCTTGCATTTTATTTAAACTTATTAGATTGAATTAAACCTACTTCGCCGACAGTGCATAAACCACAATAGAATAAATGCATTCTTTAAAATTCACTTTGTTTACCATAGCGACACTCTGGTGCTATGTTTACTTAACAGTATTATATTTCATTCATATTATAACTCAAAATGCACAAAATGTATATCATTTAAAGAATTATCTTTCTATTCAAATACTATAATAAAGCTAGAACTATGGTATAAAGAAATTAAGCAAACAAAACAAAAAAGAAACTGTTTTTCACAGACGATTGAGTATCTCTCATTTAATTAATTCAGTTCTCACTTTCCCGAGAAGGCAAAAATACATAAAAACTCAAATACCTATATTAAAAATTACGAAGTAAATCTTAAACGCTTATTTCCTCGAAAAAATTCCAGAAAGAATAAGCATGATTTAATTGGCAATAATAAATGAATGCGTTTATCTTTGTTGTTGCGAAGCTAAGTTTCTCTAGATTGGCAGCAAATCCACTAGTCTCCTGTTTCAAATGTAAACATCAATGGCCGCCATTAAAAACAGGCTTAGCGGCAATTAATCAACTTTAAAAATTGCTGACAATTTAAAATATTGCACACAGATTTACTAAAGGCATAAAATCCTTAACCGGAAGACAAAAACAACATAATTCAAACCATTTTTAAGCAAAAAATGTACAATTTACAAACATATAAGAGTAAAGAAACTGAGATCACTGAGCCGGGTAATAAAGTGGATATATATATAAATATATTATATATGTTTGGTGCGGCCGATTGCAACCAAAATACGAGGTGCACATCTACATGTTATAGCAGTCCTACATACAAAATTTCAAAGTTCTGAGGCTACTCGTTTTTGAGTTATGCGAGATACGTACGTACATACAGATACAACGAAAAATTCTCTTCAGAATTCATTTTAAAGCAGTTTTTAATTTTTTTTTTGAAGGAAAAGAGTATTTTATTCTGTCTTTACGTACAGATATCACGCAAAAACATCGTTAAATTGCATTCGATAGCGGTCAAAATGGATTTTTCGTTGAAATATGCTGCCTGAAACTTTTCGCGATTACAATACTTCCGTTTTACTTCGTACAAGGAAGTAAAAAAAGGCCTAAAACTGTTGTTTTTTATTTAATATTTTTAAAACTTTATCACATTGCTAAAAATCAGACACTAAAATCAAGCAATCTGGATAGGATTATAAATAATGATACTTAGTGTTTTAAAACATTTTCAACAAAGCTCAGTTGAAAAAAATAAGCATGAATTTTTTAAAAGACAATATAAATACGAAGGAAATCTGCAGAGTTTTGATTCCAGTTTAACACTCCAAAGCTATATAAGCTTGAATCTTGATGTATAGAACATGCAATGGGGGATAAAAAATTAATTACAAAAACGATTAAAAAACGAAATTAATTTTTTTACTGTTGTGAAATTTTACACATCTGCAAAGATTTGTAAATCTATTATTAAGACTGCACTTTCAGATAAAATAAAAGTGCTTTTCCTGAGGGACAATAATCACAGAAAATACAGAAGATTTGCTGTTGCCAGCACTGTTGCTTGCCTGCTGATTATAACACACCTGAACACCTGATGTCCGCACCGGTAAGCGCTGAAAGTAAGTTATATTCTGTCTGTCTGACACAGTTAGTGTCATAGTTTCGCACACAGTTCCTGGAGTTGTAAACTATTTAATATACTTAAAGGTTTTAATAAGCAATTAAAGTACCAGAGGTGATAAGTTGTTTTGAGATTTTTTAAGTTTCACCAGTTGTAAGGAATAAAGTTTTAAATTAATTTTTACAGTTTTGTGTTGTATCTTGTGACCCCAGTAAATAACAATGAAGGCCAATAATCCACTTTAACATGCAGAGATAACTTTTAAAGATGAGCAATTAGTTACAAATAATTAAATTAAGTAGATATTTTTAGTCATTATAGATTTACATGATCATTGTTAAATTTTTTCATTTAAAAAAAAAAAAAAACTGTTACAAAAAAAAAAATATGAAAATTTAAAAACTAAGAACATCCCGCAGTTTAAAACACATGCAACTTACAACATTGATTCTTGAATGATACTAGAATAAATTAATTATACATTAAAACAACAAAACATTTATGTTTTATAGTAACAACACACTACAAAAATAAATACATTTATGTTTTATAGTAACAACACACTACAAAATATTAGCATCTTTATAATTTGAAAACTTTCCAGACACTTTAGCTAATTAATATAAATTTCTTTTTCTTTAAATATCTTTTTTAACAACAGTAAGCAAGACATTGACAAATTAGGAGATGAAGCAGAAACCACTTCCCACTAGTTTCAGCTTCATCTCCAAACTTGTCAATGTCTTAACAATATACCTTTGAAGAATAATTTTATTTCCTCTTTATGTATTTAGTTTCTTCCTTAATAAGTTTCCCTTCATCTTAGAATTTCTGGATTTAACTAAAGATTTCTGTTATTCTTAAAAACTCCATGTATTTAGAATGTGTAGAAGAAAATTTCTTTAGTAATATGAACATTGAGAACAAAATAATGAAATGATATATGGTTAGAGCCTGCACCTGAGAGGGTGTGGAAAAATTTTTTTAAATTAAGTTAAGCACTGAGCAATAAAATCTAGGGATGGGAAAACTTTTAGAATTATTAGCAGAAGCACAAGGAAGCAATTTTTCTTAATTTAGAGGCACTTGGCAGCAAAATTTAGGACCCACGGAGATTGCATCTGGTAAGAAAATGCCTATCACCAGCCCTGTACATGATGCATTGAGACATACAAGATTAATCTTTTAAATTATTAGTTTTCAATTTATTTATTAATAGAAAAACTCCTTTCTGTAGATGCCTGTCCATGTGATACGATTAGAAGCATTTTTCATATTTTCCATGCTTGTGTCTAGTGAAAAGAGAAGAAAATAAAGGGAAGGTAAACATGTTATGAGATAAGACTTTTAGGATCAGAAGTAAAAAATTAAAATAATTATGTTTTTATTGTTTTGCCCAAATTCAGCAAAATGTGAAATTTATCACAAACTTCCTATAACATACACCAGGAATCTTCTGGAATCAAAGGTCTATAAATACTATTTTCAAATCCTTCTAAAGCTTCCGAGGTGCAATTTATAAAACCCGAAAGAAAATTATCTTTACCAATTCTGTTACAGTAAAAAGCAGGACCTTTTTTGGAAAACAAATTCAGAAAAGAAAAAGACGTAAAATGAATTTTATAGAGAAAACTGAGAGTTCTGAATATTCCAAGATAGTAACACGAGGAAAAACTCTTACCATGAAAAAATACAAAAGAAGACATTTTAAAGTAATTACAATAGCTATTTTGCTTTTGCCAAAATGTTTTACAGAAATTAAGCTTTAAGCCTTTAATATCTTGTTTATTTTTTAGATTCAAAATATTCTAATAATACATTGCCAAAATAGAAAGTGATGTCACTATATAATATGACAGGGAAAAATAAAAACATTCTATTTTAATGTTATTTCTTAAATATAATTTTAATATATTCTCATTATTTAAATGAGATTTATCAATGTTACAAAGTTTTAATAAAACTCCACTAAAAATTCACAAATCTCCGAATTAAAGAATTTTTATATAGAAACTGATCTTAAAATCACCCAAATGTTGATAAGTCACCAAATGTAGAGCCATTTAATAACAGAATTACATCCATAAAAGGGAAAAATTGTTTATAAGCTTTTCTTAGCAAAAAAGAAATAATTTTGTAATGATCATGTTTCTTGCCTAGAAACTCTAGTATTGCACCATTTGTAAAAGTAAGAACATTTTCAAACGATAATCTATCAAATATATATTTGTCAGTGAATTACCGAAAAACATTCTTCCAAAATGTCAATTTATGCTCAAAATGGCAGTTAGGAAAAACTGAAAAAAATTTCAGATGATTAAAATTAAGGACCTCCAGACAATTTTGGTCAAAATTAAGGACTCTGAAGGACAGTACGAACCTATGATCAGCTTACAGAGTGAAGATGTGCCTACTGGAATGATGGTGTAGTGATCATGAGGGATAATGAGGCATCGTTTTATTGACTGTGTATGCATATAATGGAAAATGCAGCTAATTTAAGTAACTCAGATAAAGGCCAGATTGTAACAGTGTGAAGGTTAGAACACAAGTATTCCATAAATGGCATTACTCATTGAGTGTCTGTGTTCTACTAGATTTTATGTCTATGAAAAGTGAGGGAAAAAAAATTAAATTAGTAGTAGATGCTGAGACATTAACAGACTATGCCTCATCAACGAATGAAAATGTCACAGACTCACCTACTAGATAAAGCAAACAGACATGTTTGTGGCTCAACCAATGGTTAAATGAAATACTCGTCTAACTCAGCAGCATACAATTCATTGTACTTGATATGGGACTTTGTAAGAAATGCCCTTATTAACCTAAAATCACAGACATATAAACTATAGTTGGCTTGTGAACATCATGTCTCACTATGCAACAATTGAAAAAAGTGGTCTGATAAAACAGATCATAAATATTTGCATGACATATTGATGGCTGTGCTAGAGTACATCATCTTCCAGGGTAAGAGTTGATTGACATGTACTGTAGGATGTAACAGACCAGTGATGGAGGTAATATGTTTCGGGGGAACAATCTCATGAGCATCCTTGGAACCGCTGATTGTTACAGTATACACCATGGCAGCTGTGGACAATCATCCCTAACCAGTTACACTCATACATGGCTTTTGTCTTTTCCACTGGAAATGGAATTTTCTGGCAAGACAATTTCTTCATCATAAGGCTGTAATTCTTCTATAGTGCTTTGAGAAATAAGATGAATTTCAGTTGACATTTTGATGTCTTAACCAGCTGGATTATCCAGGATGTCATGGAGTGCCAACTTAAAGCCCACCAACCACCTCTTCATAACCTGCAGAATTATGCAACTTCTGTTCATAAATCTAGTACAATCTTCCAATGGCAGATTAGCAAAGCTTAGTGGAATTCATATCATAAAGAGTGCAGTTGTTTTGGGTTCCATACATAGTATTGCAAAAACAGAACTAGGAAGAGTGATAACGTTTGGCTGACCAAGGTATTATGACACCTGTGTATTAGATACTGTGGTGCACAAGTGGGAAATACTTCTTGTTTTGAAAGTAATTTGTACATTCCTTTGCTTAGCAAAAACAATAACACTTGCTCCTAAGCATTAATAAAAATACTTAATACTTCACCAAAAAAATTTTAATATGTAAATGATCAATTACATATTCAAAAACCCAAAGAGGTTTAATCTGTTCTCTTGGCTAAAAGCAGTAATCCTTTTTATATGCTTTTATTCTAGTTAATGAACATAAAATATAATAAATAAATGCATTTACAATATGAAAAACTATGTGCAAATTCCACCACAGTTTTTATCATGAATTATTTTCTTAAGCAATAAGTTACAAAATAGCTTTCTTTCAATAATAATCCTACTGATAAGCAGTTCAAATACATATCTTTTTTTGTTTATTACATACTCCGCCCTTAGACACTACACAGAAAGGTAGGGATTTTAAATACATATCAGAGTCTATTATATTTTCTTAAAAAGAATTTCTGAGAATCGAGATATATAACAAATGCTTTTATAATTCATACTAAGAAAATCCAATTTTTAATCAATTAACAAGATTTGAATGAATACTTTTATTGTTTCAACCAACATCAAGATCTGTATTAAATAATAAAGATATTTCTGCATGTTAAATATTCAAATAAATGATTTATAGATAATAGGATCCATGATTATAAACTGTGCATTGAAAGGCAATATTCTATTTTATTTACTTGTATTTTAAACTTTACTTTTAAAGATAAATTTATTTAAAAAATTGGAGAATAGTTTTATACACTTGACATAAAAAAAAAATTCTTAGATCGTACAGAAATGATTGAAGCAACGACTATCACAACGAAACGATACGACAGGGAAAACAAGTGAAATAGACAAGGAGGTGTGAGCTACTTAGAATGTATAGAAAGAACTGGCTGCAGGCAAACAGTATGAGTTAGCACCCGTTCCTTTTGCCGTGTCATTGAGAGTGTGGACAGCAATGATAGAAGGTCAGCATAGGACAACATGGTTCCTATGGAAGGAAGGCATACAGGGTAGTGAGATCCATCATCTCATGGTGTCGGTGTGTGGGAACAAAACAGCCTGAAAGCATACAGTATACCGTTGGTTGGCCAAGTTCAGCAGTGGAGCGGACACAGAAGACAAAGGTGTCAGTGCGGGATGACAAGCAACATCGCATACAGCAGCATATGTAGCACCTGTTTCGGATTTGATCCTGGTGAACAGGCAACTAACGTTCAATGAGATGCAGAAAGAGACAGGGCTTCCGCGAGGAACAAACACTGCAGGCGATTGTGATGGTGATTTGGAAATGGCAAAGGTGTATGCAAAGTGGTTGCTTCATGCACAAAAGGCAAAGTGCATCGACATCTGCAAAGAACTTGCACTACCTGATGCCGATCCGGATGACTTCTTCGCCTGCCTGGTCACATGGAAAGGGTTGTGGTTTTTGCATGACATTCCCGAAAAAAAAAAATAATGCAGTTCCATGCAGTTTGCCAAACTCTCTGTACTCGCCCAATCTGGCCTCCTCGGACTACGCCTTGTTTGACAAGATGAAGGACGCAGTCAGGAGCCAACATGTTGAATCTTCTGCACGCAATTGTCCATAAGTGGTGCACCAATACTCCCACAGACTGGTTTACCAGAGCCCTCCCAACCAGAAGGCAGAAGTGTACTGACTTGGGCAGGGATTATTTCTAACTGATGTACTATCCATTTTTTGTTAATAAATTGCATTCGCTCAGTGACAGCAGTTGTATCATTCATTTCTGTAAGACCTAAATATACTGTTGCGAACGTACAGGTTCGTTACGAAATGAATGCTCAAGACCGATGAAAAATGAACAAAAATTTATTATTATCACAACAAATATGCTTAAATTTCCTCAAGTTATCGTGCAGTATTACAATATCTCACAGTAGTTATCTTTTAACTACTCAAATGTTCAATAGAACTTAATTCAAAACAGCTAAAGAAAGCTGATCCGCGAATTCGCTACAGTCAACAAGAGCAGTTTTCTAAACAACAACAAACTAAGTAACTACAACGAACTGACAGGTTTTCCTCCTTTTATAAGATTTTAAAATCGCGCGCGAGAATTTTCTAGTACTTTCTCAAATCAAAAAGATATATTTATTAAATGTTTAATGCACGCGCTCTTGTATTTTCAATTTTCCGGCTTAGCTTTCTTTTAATATTCATCACGATAAAACCATTTTAATTTATAATTGAACTAACATTAGCTTTTTAAATACCAAATTCGTAACAATACTGTTTTTATTGCAACCTTTTACGTGTAAAAAATATTATATAATTTACAAGCAGATAATTTGAATAATATTTATACTAACTGAAAATCCAAACAACATACCCAAAGAGAATTTGTGTCCTGAGCATCATCGAAACATTCAAACGTATCACCATTCAAAACAGAGTGTTCTTCTATGACATCAGATTCATCAATATCATCTTTGCTACAGCAACTGCTATTAATTGTATATTTAGGATAGAAGCCATCTTTTCCAAAAATACTGTCTGAGAAATACGAGCTGAAATCTAATACAAGGAAAGTCAATACATATATATTTGTGATATCATAAAGTTAAGAAATATATATGAAATATAAACAAAAGCAGAAATATATACATTATGGAATAGCTAAAGGAACATAAACTTCTTTTCCTTAAAAAATGACTCCATCAATATTTAATAACAGATGTGGTAAAATTTAACAATTTATACTACAAGAATTTTTACCGGATATTTTTGATTCAATAAACAAGGAAATGTTAGAATATGATCAATTTCAGAAATATAATACGAAAACTTGATAATTCAAATATTTATCAACTATCATGTTAATCATTTATCTTCCTCAAGATCAAGATAAATATTTTAGATGACACACTTATTTAGAAAAAAAAAAAAAAAAAAAAAAAAAAAATCAAGTATTTTGAAAATCTTCCCGTAATGGGTTTATTATTTTAGATAAAATGCAATATGATGAATATATGCTACAGTCAAAAGTCTTTAATTCGAACGTCCATAATTCATACCTCAAAGCTACAAACTTTCTGCACATGCGTCAATGCATGTTGCGGTAACACATGCGCATAATACGTTTACGCATGCACGTTTAACGTATACGGACGGTATAAGCTAAAAATTATCTAATTATCTATTTCAGTTAATGTTGCAGATTGCATTGTTCCTTAATATTCTAATTGGATCCGGCTTAGTATTTTTTGCAGACTGTCAGAGCAGAGTTTTAAAAGTAAGCTTAAACTTTCGATTATGTCAAAAAGAATTTCCGATTCTGGAGCTACCAAAGGATTTACAAAGCAAATGCATGTTTTGATGTCCGTCAAACAAAAAGTGGAATTGCTGCAAAAAATGGATGAAGGCATATCCTTTGATTCTTTAATCATTCCGAAATATGTTTATCAATCCGCAGGGGAGGGGACGCGGCACGCAATGAACTGGAAGTTGATCTGTCAGCACTTCCTTATCTTCAGGGCAGATGTTTTTATTTTATTCGGCTTATAATTCCTTGCTAAATGTAGTATTTCATCTCGATGTACTCCGTCTTTGATATGATTTAAATCAAATTCCTCATCATTATAAATATCACGAATACACATCAAATAGTTTTCTGGTTGCAATTTTCAAACTTCGGCTATGCGTAATGTATGCTTTACACATGCATGCGTTGAAAGAAATGTTTAATAAAGCAAACAAATAAATATTAAGCCTTTTTTTGTAAATTTTGATACCCTTTAGATCATAATTGTTTTTTGTTTCATAAATTACGGTTTCATATTTTTAATTTTATAACTTCTGCATGCCATCTTACCAGATTTAAACTGATGATCTATAATCCGGATTCGCCGAAATCCCGACGAGTCCGAAATTAAAGACTTTTGACTGTACGAAAAAATGCATTTCAGACATATTTTCAAAAGCTTTCAATACCATCTTATCTATTTACGAAAATTTTTTAAACTATTTTTTCAAAACTCATTTAATAGAATTCAGAAGTATTTATGTTTTAGATTTTTCTATGATAAATATGGGATGCTTACATCTTTGATATATATAACATGCCTAAGTTGGTAGTCAACATTCAACTGAATAATACACTTCCTTTTTTTCATAATCTTTAGTTGCAAAATTGCTCACAAAAGTAAAATAAACCCCCCCCCTCCAAAAAAAAAAAAAAAAAAAAAAAAAATTCCACTCCATTCTTAAAGAAATAAATATTTTTGTTTCGGTTCTCTTTAATAATCTATTTTTATTTCTGTTATATTCTATCTTCAGATTCTAAGAGAAACAGTTTCCCCCCCCCATTTTCTTGGCACAATGCACTTTTAATTAAATCACCTTCTGTTAAAATTTCTGTTACAGGCAAATTTTTATCACATTCATCCATAACCTCTATCTCCGATAAATCTGTGTCATCATCAGATCAAATAATGATTATAGTTATTATTAGTTATTCATCATTAAATAGTTACAAAAAATTACCAATAAAGTTATTTTTAAAAATCTAAAACATTCTGGTTAGTTGAACGCTGGATAGTCAAATTTTTACTGCAGTTACACACATTGCTACTTTATAACCTAGAATTCACTTCTTAAATTTTAAAAAATAAATCTAAAATAACAGCCTGTTTTAATGTTTTCTATCCTGGAAGTTCGGCAACATTACACCACCTTTCATGCTAGGGACTACAATGCTTAAAGTATGTAATCTATATTCTTTTGATTATTAAAATTCCTCATAAAATACTTTAAGACCCATTTTGAGCTAACATGTATGTAGAAATTTAATACCATATTACTTTGCATTTAAACCACTATTTTTATTTCAAATTTTTAAGATATAAAATTAGGCTTAAACTCAAAATGAACAATTTAATGTCATATATCTGAGGATTCTCTACAAACTAGATGGATTTACTCATACAGTCAAAAGTCGTTAATCCAGACTCGGGACTTCGGCGATTCAGGATTATCAATCATCAATTTAAATCTCGTAAGATGGCATGCAGAAATTCTAAAATTAAGAATATGAAACCGTAATTTATGAAATAAAGAACAATTATGATCTAAACGGTATCAAATTTAAAAAAAAAAAAAAAAAAAAAAAAGCTTAATATTTGTTTACTTTATCAAACATTTCTTTCAATGTAAGTTGTTTCAGTTGCTTCGTTCTATGTGATAATACTTTCTCTTTAATTCTATAAACAGACATACTTTCTTGTTCAGTTACAAGTTCTGCTGTTCAAGTCCTGTAATTGCTGTGCCGAGAATACCGACTAACTTGTCAATCAAAATTTTTTCGTTTTCACTAACCTCTCTGTCACCTTCTTCATATCTTTATCCATTTTTTGCAGCAATTCCACTTTCTGTTTGATGGACATCGAAACATACTTTCGTTTTGTAGATCCTTTGGAGCTCCAGCATCGGAAATTCTATTTGACATAATCGAAAGTTCAAGTTTACTTTTATAAAATTGCTCTTACAGTCTGCAAAAAAAAAAAAAAAAAAAAATAAAAAAAAAAAAAAAAAAAAGGTTCCAACTTGAAGATTAAGGAACAACACAATCATCAACATTAACTGAAATAGATAATTAGATAATTTTAGCTTATACCATCTGTTATACATAAAACGCTCACGCGAAAACGTATTCTGTGATTGCGCACACGCATATGCGCAGTCATAAAGGTCTTATGCACACCATAAACGCCTATGCGCATATGTCAACGCGATGCATGCGCAGAAAGTTTTTAGCTTTGAGGTCCGGGATTATAGATCATTCCGGATTATGGGTGTCCGAATTAACGACGTTGACTGTATTAGAAAATATTTAACAAAATAAAATTTTCCTATTTTTTAATATTTATTATAAAATCATTTTACTTTATTAGTTTTTCCAATTTTAAAATCCTACTCAGCTTAAATTTGAAGAAGGCTATTTTTATTATTTTTTCATTTTTGCAATTTTAAAATCATACTGTGGTTTAAAACTGATGACAACTTAAACTTGAAGTAAAACGTAATTAATACGGTAATTACTAGCATAAATTTTTACATAACCCAATTAAAATTTCATATGCAATTACCTGTTTGAATACCTTGACTTTTTAAAATAGGCTTGCATGATATAGCAAGAGAAGTCATTACTGGCTGGCACATGACTTCTTGATCACATGTTGACTTTTTTTCAATATCTTCCATTTCAATTTCAGGACCAGATTCAATATTATCAGGATCAGAATCAATTGTTTCCAAAATAGCTTCAGGGTAAACCTAAATATAGAATATACTTTATTACATAATTAGAATTTAAAATACATAAATTTATATATGCTTAAAAAATAAAACACTTTTTCAAATATTTTCTGTCTTTACTTACTCAGCTATTTTGCAGTCATGATAAATTAGATTAGATTATTTAATTATGGCAAAGCACACGAGGGCTATCTGCCTAAAGGGAGGGAGGGAGGGATGCCTTCATGGAGGACTTTCTAAGGGAAACTGGTTTGTATACACATTACACATGGGGAAAACCATGAAAACGCCCATGCAGCCAGCCCGTTCGTGGATTCGAACCTCGAACCGAACTACCACTGTTCGGCATCTTTACTGCTCGGCCGCTGGTGGGCCGTGATAAATTGAAATCACACTGAAAAATTGCAGAGCACATGATAAGTTTTTTTAATTAGATCATAAAAGCAAAATTATCTTAATTCTAATTTGCGCATTTTATACTGAAACATATCAATACAAGAAAATAAAAAATTTAAGAGTTGGCTGACTCGCATGTTGTTGATTCAAGTACAGTAAAAACTGTACTGCAAAGTACATCAAGATTTCGTTGTGTATGGTTAATTAAATACACATGTAGGATGTCTCATTATAGTGGAGTAAAACAGGTAAAAAGCGATGCTATTGTAATATATATAGAGAGAGATAGATAGAAAGATAGATCCACCTCCCAAATGCAGCTTTACCATAGAGATATTAAAGCTGAAAATGTTATGATACCATATCGTACAGCGGATCAGCTTTCTAATGTTTTCTTATCAAAGAAACCTTTGCCATTCTTATCAAAACAAACGGATTAACAAAACAAAAGGGGGATTAACAAACAAAGGAATTAATAAAACAAACTTCAGGAACAAAGATTAACATGCTCCACTAGGAAGCCCTCCCTGAGGACCTACACAAACTTACCACTTGGAAGATATCAATTTCTATAGATTGTTGGTATGTGGCTTATTTTGGTAATTCATATAATATAAAATATGTCTGCACTTTAAACAAAAATATTATCTTAGTTCTGTGTACACTTTGAATGAAATTTTGACAACTTACCAGGTGTACAAGTATGAAATGTGGATTTTGGACAACAGAATGTTGCACCAATGCAGTTTGTACTATACAGCTTTGACACTGCACCATTTTGTTGTGTAATCAACAAGTGTCAGAGGCACACAAGTAATTAATTGGAAAAGCATGTTCATAGTGTTGTGTTCAATATAACAGCATTTGTGGGCAGCATTTAATTTGTTGTTTTCATTTGAAGAAAACTGCTACTAAAGCATACCAATTACTTTGAGAAGCTTATAGTGAACATGCTCCATCGCAAGACATGTGTGAAAGATGGTCTCAGTATTTCAAAAGTGGTGACTTCGATGTTGCAGACAACAAAAGAACGTGGAAAACTGGAGGGGGGGATGTGAAACTGCAAGCTCTATGTTGGATGAAGATGATTTGTAAACACAAAATCAACTCACAGAGCAATAGGTGTTAGTCAACAAGCTGTTTCCAGCTATGAGAGATGGGGAAAGAATCAGAAGACCAGTACAAAATAAAGTCGTTTTTGCATCGCATAGTTACAGGGAATGAAAAGTGGATTTATTCTGAGAATTACAAGCATAAAAAATCATGGATAGACCCAGGCCCACCATCCACAAGACCAGACTGCTTTGGCAGAAGAATGATGCTCTGTGTTTGGTGGAAGCAGAGGGGCATGGTCTACTATGAGCTGTTATAACCTGGGGAAACGATTAATATTAAACATTACCAACAATAATTAACCAATCTGAACTGTTCACTGTTTGAAAAAAAGGCCAGAATACCAAAAGAGGCAACACAAAGTAATTTTTTTTTTTTCATGACAATGCTCCTCACATATGGCAAAATCGGTTCGCGAAACATTAAAAGTGCTCAGCTGAAAAGTTCTACCCCATGCAGCTTACTCACCAGAGCTTTTTTGATCATCACCTGGTTGCATCGATGGGTCACACTTGCTGAGCAGCATTTTGGTTTGTAAAGAGATGTGAGAAGGATCACAGCAAAAGGAGAAGATATTTATTGGCGTGGTATACGCCAATTGCCCGAAAGATGTATAACAAGCAATGCAGCATACTTCCAATAAAGCAATTATCATTCCAGTCAAATATAGGTCCTTCTTTAGGGACATTTTTTTTTTTTTGATAGCACAGGAAGACTATCTATCTAAGGGAAGATATTGCTTTCATACAGCCTTTTTAGAAGACTACAAAACTGGCTCACATTTACGTTAAACATAGGAATAGGAGTAGCACAGGAGTCAATTGTGACAAAGACAGTATTTCATTTATGATAAAACAGGCAAGGATTGCTTATCTTAGATATTAGTGAATCATTAATTACTTTCAAAAGTTCACAACTTTTGGAGTAACATGCATTTTAAAAAACCTACTACAGACTTCTTTGCAAAAAGCTGTGTTGTTATGCATCAATTAACACAGCATTTTGTGCAGTCTTCTTTCCCTCTTCTCCCACTGACTTTGCTGATGAATCTAAGAAAAACCTTTTAATTTGAAAAATAAAAATCTCTATATAGAGAAAAATTACCTTTAATAAGTTAACAAAAAATTGCCAAATAAGATAAGGCCTTTAGAGTAACTAATTCACATTACAAAAATGAGAAATGATGTAACTTCTATGCAGGCAGTTCCTTCAATTGGAACTCAAACATTAGGACAAAATGTTATCAGTTTCCTTTGCTTTAATCATTAGTTCACCTATTTATTACCTTTAGATTCACTCAAATGGTAAAACATTGCCTTAACATTACCTTTTGTAAGGGAGAGGCAGTTTTAATTGTTCTAAAAAATAGACTGAACATATTAGCTTTCTAATTTAATTTATATAAAAAAATTTATACTTTATAGTATTTACTGTGACTATTTAATTTTTATAGTCTTCAATAAAGATATTAAGCTAATCCTTAACTTGTTCAATCCCACACTTGTTATTGGCACTTTATGCATGAAAGTGATACAACTGATATGAATATAAAGTCCAATAATCTGAAAAAAATTAATTAAAATATATTAATATGAAACTACCTCATCAGGCACAATCAGCTGAGGTGATGAGCTTCGGGATTCAGGTTTAATACTACCATTTTCAACTACTTCATTTTCAGGTGAAACTGAAAAATATGTTAATATCAAGAAACAGTCCAAAACTTGATTACATCAAACATCAATAAAATCTTATATTTGTATGAACAAATTACCTGCATAGTCTTTGCAGATGGAAGGAAATGGTATCAATAAATTAGCTGATGAACACAAAGTTAGAAGCTTTTGAATTTTGGGATTAGATGTGGACTCTGTAGATGGTGTACTCGTACTGCCATTGGCTGTTTTCTTTTCTGTATTATCTGCCTCAGGATATAAATCTTGTTTGTGTTCTACAGCAAGCCATTTCCCTAAACATTCCGTAGAACAATATTCTTTCCCAGCTTCACTTGACTTTAAAACCATTCCACCAGGGCTCAGTTCTTTCTTACACCAGTCACAATTTCGTGTTTGAGATTCCTAAAATACGAAAATTAAGATCAGATTCCACTCTGAATACCTGATATCTGTAGGTAAAATTTTGCTACAGAAGATACGGTTAAAAACGTTACACACTCTTAACACATTGACTGCCACGGCAGTTTTCGAATTCCAGTCTAAGAAGCCAAATCGATTTAATCATATTATATTATTAAAAATACTAATTATGATACATAACAATCACTAAAACGTTTACAAGATATTTTCTTTGTACAAAAAAGGGTCCTACGAATTATCTTGTAGTCAGCTTTTGTTAGACAAAGCTCTTCGCAGAAGCCCACTACGAGTTGATTCGTACAGGCATGCTTCGACTTGTCACCTTGGTACAGCTAAAACAAGCGCTAAGCAAGTAACTCGTAGCGGCACAAAAGTGGCACGTCAAGAAACTACAAGATAACTCGTATTGGGCATCCTGAAGAAAAGCGCTAATATGAGTTATCTTCTGTTGGGCAGTCAACGTGTTAAATAAAGAACTTGGAGCTTAGCAACAATGAAAATACAAAATTATGACAACGGAAAGGCAAAAAGTATTTTTAAATTTTATTTCTAATACTTCTAATACTTTTAAATTAAATAACAGCTTTGCTCATTTGGCTTTAAACTTTATTTTAAGGGAGGGAAAAAATAAAAACAATGCTTTGGTGACAACATAAGCAGAATATTTTTCCTTTATGAATGAGTGGAGTATTTTAATATGTCAAAAAACACCAGGGATATAAGAGATGCCTTTGCAGCTTTGTCTGAATTTGGAAATAAAGGTCCAACCCATGCCACTGTATTTAGATAGTTTACAAAATTTCACAAAGGTTGCAACTTTCTTCAGGATGGAGAAAACACAGGAAGGCCTTGTCAGCAATAATCCCAGACAATGTATCTGCCACATGGAAATTGGTATCGAAAATAATCGCTGCACCTCCTAAATAATACAGAAGAATCATTGGATCCCCTGCAAAACATAAATTATTTATGAAAAATTGCATTTGAAAGAACTAGTTTGTCGTTGGGTTCGCCAAAATTTAACTGAGCACCAAAAAGAGCATGTCAGAATCAGTAAAGAAATCCTTAAGTTACTTAAAGATGGTGGCCACTACATTCTTTCTAAATTCGTAACTGGTGATGAAACACAATTTTTTTTAAGTTTCAGCACATCAAGAAAGTAAAGTATAGGTCTCCTGGAGACATTGATTTATTTGGTGGGTGAGATTGTTAATTTATTAGAGGGAGGCCCAAGAAAGTTTTTGGCATAGGAGCCTAAGAGTTCTAGTTATGCCACTGTCTGTAGCAAAAATAAATAAAATAATAAACCATGATTCACAGCATAAAAATGCTAAAAAACATAACGTTCACCAGCTTTTGCTGAGGTATGTGACTCAATGCTGAACAATTTGTAGAACCCTGTATGAAAACTATTTAGCAGGAGACAGATGGAAATACATTGTGACCCTCGATGAACCATGATTTTACCTAAATGACTGGGAAAAAAAAAGTCTATTATCAAAAATGAAAAATGTACAAACTTCGTTCTGTTAATGTACACAAAATTTCGGTCAGGGTTTTATGATTATAGTTGGAATTTCTTATAATGGGAAATTACAAATAAGAAGAACAGGGAGGGAAAAAAGTTAAAATCAACTCTACGATCAAGGGAAAGTTTTACATCTGATATTACAAAATAATTTCATTTTTTTTAACCCCAATAACACTCAATGAGCGAAACTTCATCCAAACAATGCGACAAGTCATACTTCAGAAATCACTGCATTACTTGAGGGGGGGGAGAAAAAAGATTGATGCAGGTATTACATATATACCTTTTCAATGTTTCCCTAGAAAGTGCCCTGACATTTCACCTATGGACTACTGTGTCTTGAAAAGGTCTCTTTCAAAGCACAAACCTGCCCTGATTGATGGACTATGGAAAGTAGTGGAAGGGGAGTGGAAATCAACACTCCTAAAAATTTTATGAAAAAGAAGTTTTATTTTTGTAAAAATGAAATTTGCAGAAAATTAAAATCTTCAGAAATAAGAGAATAATTACACAAATAACAAGAGCAACACTTCTTTCATTACAAGAAGGTAACAACTAAAAATGTGTTGGTTTCACCAAATTTACTGGGTACTGATATGGCAGCTATTTGGAGAAAAAAAAGGGGGGTTTTCCAAAAGCAAAAATTTGAATTTCATTCCCTATAAATATTTAACCCTCAAGCCATCCAAAGCTTTAGTTCTAAAAACCCCATAATCCAAAAAATGGCACAAAAAGCAAACAAACAAACAAAAAAAATTCTTGATCATAATTCAAAATGCCATTGTTGTTAACCACTTGCGCTAAAAAGACGTGCCACGCACGTCGAGATGCTTTTGTCTCAAACCACGCGCAAAAATGAAAATAACATGGTGCACACGTCGCCTAACAATGAGATTGTTTATTTCTTGATTTGCAGCTCTGGATTGCACTCGCAGATGCAGAGCGGCGTAAATGAGACACTTTACCGCTTGTTATATTGTGGCACATGCCACCACAACCGTGAAGTTTAGTCATAGTGCAAGTGGTTAATGCCTGGAATCTTTTCCTTCTAATACACATCCTCAATGTATTTCAAGATGCAATAAACAATTTTTTTACAGAGTTCATACACATTTCTGCACATAGAAATTAAGTACTTTTATTAAAGTACTAAAGACTTTAGCATAGGGACTATTAGTAAAAACGCACTAAGTACTTTAGAGTAAGTAATAAAGATTTTAGCATTTAGTACTAAGAACTATTAATGAAAAAAATTAAGGACCCGTTAGCAAAGGAAACTGAATAAATTAAAGAAATTATCTACAGTTAAACTTGACTTTCGTAATACCATTCTAAGAATAAACTAAATCTGTCAGTAGGAAATATATATATATTTTTTCATATGGCGGACACTAGCTGTTATAGCTGTTGGCCACTACTAAGGCCGGATGTGGTAGTCACTATTATGGAGGCAACTAATAGGTGGTCCGCTGCCTCCTGTGAATGAACAAACAATTTAATATCCATACCCAGAACTGGATTTAGATTTGACCAGATCCTAAGCTATTTGAGATATGGGGCCCTTTAAAAGGGATACGAGTCGTCTTTTATATATATATATATATATGGTACAATTTTTGGTGGTGGCTCCAAGAAAAATCAGGCTCTAAGCTATAGCTTGTGCAGCTTATATGAAAACACGGCACTGTCCATGCCTTCTCCTGGATTTAAACCCAGGACCTTAGGTAAAGAAAAAAAAAAAAAAAAAAAAAGGATAAAGTGATCATTAACCACTTTCTCATCTGGTGTGGCATTGGATATATTATTATTAAACATAATCTAATATTTCAATTAATTATAAAACAAACTCCAGAATAAAATCAACTTCGTACAATTTCGGGTAATAAGCATTAAGTTACAAAATTTCTTGAAATATTTATATTTTACACTTATAATAAATAGTTCCACATATTTTAAAGAAAATTAGTGATGTTTAAGTTTTACTAACATTATGTTGATTCTTTCTTTTATGTCTTGTTTCGTCATGTACTCTCTCAGTCCAGAGGTTTATGTACATTTTTATGTCAAGAGGCATAGGATGAAATGAGAAGTAAAATCATAACCAACATGATTTCATAACAAAAGCTTAGCTGTTGCTTGCTGTTTGCTTAGTGAGAAAGAGACGCTGATCAGAAGAGACATAAATGCCTGATGGCACAATTGGTAAGCGTTAAAAGTTAATTGTGCTTCAACTGTCTGACCTAGTTAGCACCATAGCTTCACATAGAATGGCTAGAGTTATAATCCAGTTAATATACAGTATTTTATATAAAGTTTTAATAAGCCTCTGAAGAACCAGAGGTGATAAGTTGTTTTATTAATATAAACAATTTTAAGTCACACTTGCTGAAAAGTTTTTTGTACATTTTTGTTTTGTATTTTGCATTTACAGTAAGCATTAGGGAAATTTGATAACTCACCTTAACATGAAGGGATAACTTCTAAGGTTAGAAATTAGTTACAAATACCTATATGCATAGTTAGAAAACCTTAGTCATAGATTTACATATTCACTATTAATTTTAATTACTGTAAAAAACATTTTTTTAAAAAAAAAGCACTATTCAAATCATTTTACAATTACAACAGATAATTATGCATGAAATTTATGACACTGAAAACAATATTAAGATAATTACACATAAAAAGCTACAAATTTCAATTTTCTTCTCTTCAACACCTTTCTTAAGTTTAGTTGTTTCAATAAACAAATCAATGTTCCCTCTGGTGCCTGTTTCATCCCCTGATTTGTTAATATACTTAACAATATATGTTTCAAGAACAATTTTCTTTCTTTATATGTAATCAATTGCTTTTCCTTTAAGTTTCCTCTTGAATTTTCTATTTCAGATTTAATGCAAGATTCACGTTATTCTAAAGAATTGCACGTATATACCATGCGGTGACCAGACAAAAGGACGAAAGTGCACACGACAAAAGCCCACAAAAATGACCCCACTGGGATAATTGCCCACGCGACTAATACCCACACCGATGAAAGCGCACATTGATGAAAGCCCACACAGATAAAACCACATAGATAGAAGGGCACGCTAAAATTAATTTTTCCCTTTTTTCTTCAGCTTCACAAAGCAGATTCACGAATAAAGATAAAAAAAAATAAATTAAATGAATAAGAAATAATTGAACAATAAATTTAAGTAGCGGAACACATTTCATTTTCGTCTCCGGCTGAATTAAATTCGTATATATATATATATAGTACAGAGAGTCAATCAAAATAATATAATTAAAAACATATACATGTAGAACAGAATTTCTAATATCTTGTTTTCTGCATGAAAATATACATGTATGTGTAACATTGTTTTATATTTACGGGACAAATAAAAGTGCCCTCGTATAAGTCCGACAAAGGGAATACTGGCCACACAGCTTATTTTAATTCTAC